ACATTTTAAAAATATTTTTACTAACTTTTATTTCGAAACGTATGTATTCAGCTTAGAAAACATACAGAATAAATCTCATCCCTCAAGGTTATAGAAGAAAGCGTTTTATAAGATTTTCATTTTATGCAACATTTAAACGTCTTACATACTTAAGTTGGATCCAGCTTTGTTTGACTTACCACTTTGTAAGTTTCTGGGGCAGGGTAACTAACAATATAACCAAAACTAGCACATCCGCATACGGATGAATTACTGCCAAAAGGTGAAAATACATATTAACCAAGAGAAAATAAAAGGGAACTTCACCATAAGGTTAAGAGGTAAGTCATATCCTGTCTCTGATAAATGACATACCGCTGCAGATTTTCCGAAAGTAGGAAATACATATTAATCAAGAGAAAAGAAAATTGGATTTTTAAAGTGTACTTATTGTGATAAATATTCACAAAGAATTGGGTCCAATACGGACATATCACCTCCGCACTTAACCTTTAATGTTACGTGGCAAGTTTAACCTTAAAAGTCTTTTAAACAACTTTAGTCTGGGAAGTAGCTATATGGATAAGTAGAAAACTGTGCTTCTTTTCACTAAGAGAAAATTCAAAATTTTAAGGCTCCTTTCTAACTCACCTAACTGCGCTGTCAGCCTTTGATACTATGAACATAGACAAGTACCTATATATATAGCCAAGTCCATTTAACCATAGACTTAAATGGTTTTATTTTAGTTTAATATGAAAGTTGTGCCTTCCTAAAGCGATGACTACTGTATGCTAGATGTTACAGATTTTTACCATTAAGATGATCCTTTAGATCTGGCGGACGGACAGTAACTCATCCGTGCTATTACAACCGGCCATTTATACTTAAGTGAAGGGTATACTCACATGCAAATCTCTCAGGATACTATAAGATATTACTACCTAAATACAAAAACGAAATTTTTGCCGTTATATTTTGGGTTCGTTTTCTAAAGTTTATGTTACTGATATTTATCAAGGTATAATATTGTTATCTGAATGACATGTTCAACCTAGTGCTCTGTACAATATTCACTGCAGATATGCTTGTCTTTAAGAAAGTAAATTAAAAAACTCTAGTTAAAGCATCTCAATATATGCAGGAACAGATTATGTTAATTAGTAAATGGAAACTAAAGCTATCTATAAGTTATGATAAATATTAAAATCGCACAATGTTTGACACTGAAATATCTGGTGATATGCTTAGATTACAGGTTTACGTGGAAAAATTATACAAAAGCCAAATTATTGTAAATCACTCTATAAATGAAACAAACGCATTGGCAGGTTTCTCAATTAAATCTAGACAGTTATAATGGAATTGGTTTCGACTGTATTTTTTTGGAGCACTGCAAGTATTTCCAATATAGAAATACTTTATAGATACCAACCAAAGCACTATGATATGTTGTTGAATTCGGTGGTATGTATTAAGCCATTTCAATAAGATCTGTTATATATGGTATTTAGAAAGGTTTAACAGATATTTCAATAAACAGATGGTAAACCTTCTGAACAACAGTCAGTCTGCTAAAGTGGTGCAGAGATGTTGGCCTTTTAATCTTACCTAATAAAGTTTAAGTAAATTATGTTTAAAACTTTAAAATGTCTTATTTTAGATAGATGCGAATTTGTTTTACATAGTACAACAGATGGTCTTAATGGAGCTTAACAATTTTTGAGATTGTCTCTCGACAAAACACATATACTTATATAAAAAAAGTTTCAAATAAAAAAATATTTAAAAGATTAAAATGTATATTAAAAATATGGATATTGTAACAAAAAAAATAATATTCAATTAAAATATGAAAAATATTATAAAATATATTTAGAAAGCCATTTATACCAGATAATGTTGCATTTGGGACTCCAGTATCCACCAATTCTTCATAACTCGGAAGCAGGGAGTCATATTCCATATGCACATCAATATGCCGCTCTTTAAGTGTCGGAGGTATGAGCAAGATATCCTTTTGAAATATATTATCTAAAACTTTTAAGGAATATTTTTATTATATTACTTTTAATATTATATTAATTTTAATTATAATTTTATTTAAAATTTTTAAATGTACAATTAAATTGTTAAATTACAGCATAAACTTAAGTTTAATGATTAAACCCTTTAATATATTTACATAAAGTGAAAAAATGAGTATTAAGTAATATTAATTATTATAATATATATTATAATTTCAGGAACTTAAACTAACTGCGTCTATAAACATTGGAATAATCGCTGTCATCCGTTTTCTTTATTATACCATTGAGTTTTTGCAAAATTTTGAAATAAATTTGCTCCTCGAAACGTGTGGCCTCATAAAAACGCACTTTTTCTAATAATAAAAAAAAGTTTTATAAATTTTTAAACTATTTTTTGTTCTAATTTTAATAACGAAACCGACGTTTGATCAAAAATTCCGCTAAAATTGCGGTGAATTTAGTGTTCGAGTCGAGATCCCTGCTATTCTCCAATTTATTCAACAGTTTAAAAATCTTTTTGGCCACAAAAGCTTTTGTTGTAGGTTCCACAGTTTCAGTTGTGGTGCCGAACTTCTGCAATACAAAGAACACTAGAAATATCTGAACAAAAATCAGTTTCCTATTTTCACAGAACAACATTTCGCACAAGAAACTTCAGAGTATCTGAAACATTTTTGAAATTGTTACAAAATTTAAATGTTGCTTTGCCCACACAAATCAATGTTTTAATGAAGACAAATCGGAGGACATTTGTAAGGAAAACATCAAACGGCATTAAAGTTATTCAAATGTTAAAATGCGGTTTAGATAAAGTTTTCGAGGAAGAGATGCTGGAACAAATACACTTAAAACAATTTTTGAAAGTTACTCAATATTCTACAATGGGCCACAGTTTTATATGTCCTCACATTAAGCTTTTTTAAATACAAAAGACAAAGAAAAAAATATACACTTATTAGTCAATACAATGTACAGGATGCCACATTTTAAAGCGATTTACTTTTAAAGAAGATTCTTTGTTCCAAGAAACGAAAAAAATTGGATCCATTCACATAATTTGCGTAGAATCAGAGTGTCACAGAAACATCAGTCCAAAAAGCATTCAATCGATAATGTTATAAAGGGTTAAGAGTAAACTACAAAGATTCATTTATGTAACTTTAGGTCCACTTAAGTTAAGCGAAGTTAGAAACTGGAGTCGAAACAATTAAGTCGTCTTTTAATGGAAAAGCAATAAGTACTTGATTTTGCTATTAGTTTCCTTGACTTCTATCAAGTTGACAATATCAAAGTTCTTTCAACTTCGCATAAGAATAGAATCGATACTAGAGTTGATAATATTTTTGACTCCTTAGTAGAGTTCGATACGACTTCTAAATCTAATCGCAGGCTTTAAAGATAGGCAATTGGGTTGAAGTTACATTTTTTCCAAGTAACTGAAAATGTTACACTACTTTAAACGTCTTTCGCACGTTTTTTAAGCTAGATTTAAGGGAGATGATTAAACTAATATATTATAAATGGAAACTAAAAATTACTACAATTAAATATATATATACATAAATATATATATATATATAAATTTATAATAACTGTTTGCAAAATGTGTCTCAATTTCAACGATCAAATGTAAACACGACAAAAAAATATATATTTGATTATGCAAAGCAGATCTTTGATATCTCTTGCTTCAAATAAATTTACGATTTAGTGCTCTCTGGAATCAAAATATCTCATATTGTGATTAATATGGTGATTGTGACTAACAGTGGCGACGTTAAGTGTCAGCGGTGTCGGAGACCGCTGTCGGCCTCGCGCCCCCAGAAGCCTCACAAAAAGTTACCGACTATCGATTCAAAGCACTTAATGGATATTTTGAAAAATTTTTTTCATATATGACAATCATATGAAAAGTATACCAAACTCGGCTTATTAAACAATATGACGAACCACTGCTTTTAAAATCGAGCTCACTAGACTAAATCAACGATATAACACAACTCGTCTGGTATATTAAAGAAAATAATTTAGAGAAAGTACATCCGAATCTTTATATAGTAACCAGAGTCATGCTCACAGTTCCAGTTAAAATTGATTAAAATCTGATTACTTTTATAATTCGGTAATGAAAAGAGCCTCGCAATTGTGCTGTTGCCGACATCCAGAGTTGGTGTAGCTTCGCCACTGGTGACTGAATTTAAATGTTTAGAATATCTAAACGAACTATAAGCAACAAGTACTGTTTTCGCCAAAAATGGTCTATGACTTCATAATTTAATATTGGCCAGACTAATACTGGGTTATCATATGATTTTAATTAAACCTTTTTATTCTATGTCTTGTTTAAACCTTGTTATTAATTGTGAAATACAACATTAGTTAGATTATTTTAGGTCGTTTTCTATATTTATCGGCACATGGCTAACAACTGTTCGGTCATATCTTGACGGATGTTCGTTTTCAAAGGCCACCAACTTGAGGATTGTCCGCATAAATACGATCCATTGCACAACCCTACAAAAAAGTCCAATAATGATAACTGGTATGGTCTTTGTGATCAATTTACATCATGAAATCGTGAAATTGCAAAACAAAACAAAACATGTTTTTTTCAATCTCAAAAAGATTCTAAGTAAAGAAGAATGGGAAGATGTTGAGAAAAAATATGCAAATATGAATTATTTGATCTATTTTTATAAATAAGTATTTAAATTTAATGTTTTCTTATACAAAGCTTTTAAAGGTTTAATGTAAATGCAGTAACGCTAGTAACTTTTATGTAGAACTACTGCAACGATTTTAATTCAAAACGCTTAGATTTCTTGGATATATCTTTAAAGATTGTTAACAAAACTGAGCATATTCGAAGACTTCAACGACTACATATCTTCGATCTGCTATTCAGACAATGATAAATTAAATTATCATTAATTATAATATAGAATAGATATAAAACATAATTCTAGTAAAAGTGAATAATTATGTTATAGATATTAAGTATCTATTTTTTTAGATTGTGAAAAAATTGTTCAAAATTACAATACATTATTTAAAGAAAAATATACAAAAAAATCTGATATGCTAAAAACTCTGATATACATAGAGATCTTTCTATAGACACCCCTAATAAGTGTATCAATACTAGAGCGCCTAAGCTCTATTCGTATTTGAAATATAGGTGGTCACTTGGAAAAATTTGTCAGGGCAGTTTTACCAATATCCGCACAATAATAGTTTTAACAAAAATAGGGAACTTCATAATTAAAGTGATTTAAAGTGCTAGGTTATCACAGTGTCGCTCAAATAAGTATTAGGCAGAAATAGAAAAGATGCCAACTGATACCAACTTCACTAATTAATAATTTTAAATTCAAATATAAATACCGTAAATACATACATTAATTTTTATTTATTAAAAACAGATTTTCTTTAATCCTCGAAACTAAAGTTAACATACCACCCAAGTTTCTTTGCTTACATAAAATATATTATGTATATTATATATTATATTGCAAAACCTATATCCCAAAACGTTATTATAATGTAATGTAGTATTAATATTATATTGCATTATATATATTCTAATATATAATAAATATCAATTCAATTATTTGATCATTTTTAGAAGTTGTATTAAGAATATAAAATATTCTATAGAATACCTATATTATATTCTACAGGCAATGAATTGTAAATTTACGTGCTATAAAAAATTCCAATACACAAAGTTTTTAACAGTGTATAAATTATTCAAGACACCATTTATTACAATAAAATTTAATCTCATCCATATTGTTGCTTCATTAAGGGAACTTGGTATGGTTTAATTTATGAAGAAATGTGTCGCCATTAAGAAAATATTCTCACAAAAACATACTCTGTTTTATGATTTGTCTTTAAAAAACCACAAAGAAATCTTAATTATTAAATTAAAATGTTAAGTATCGAATGAAATAAGTGAAACAAATTAATTGTAAGTCTTATGAACAGAAAACAAGAGCAAATCGAAAAATTGAAAGAAATCAACAAAAATTCAGAATTTTAGAAGATTTTTACCTGATTTAGCATTCTCATAGTTTATTTAATTCTTTGACAGGTTCCACTAAAATTATTCGGTTTAAAATACATCAACCCATAAAATTTAATATCGTCTTGACGACTAGCAACTAAAAATATTTATATAATCCCCATCGTTAAATATTTAGGCCATTTTACATATGATTTAATCTTTTCTATTAAATAATTTTAAAAACGTTTCCTTCAATGAGTTTAGAGACTCATTTAATACGCTCCTAAAACACATCTGTCTATAAATTCGTAGAACTCTTAAATACAACATTTACTTTACACATCATAATCCTTTTCAAGGATGTTGCATTCATTCCAAGCCTTCTCAAACATTTCGATGCTCTTCTTGTAGAATAATTAACATGTGGCCTCAGAATAGGTCTCAGTTGCAAAAATCATTTCTTCATTGTAGCCAAAACGCTTTCTCTTGAGCATCATTTTTAAATCTACAAACAGGTAGTAATCGCTGGAAGCCAGATCCGAAACATATGATGATTATGATTATTTTGTCCGCTTTTGAACATATATCGTGGATTGTCAAGTTTACACAAATCTCACTTGTTACGAGAAAATGAACCTTGTTTTTTTCCACACCTTCGACTTTTAAACGTAAAATTAATATTATGGAATATTCGCTATTGTTTGTTCTTTTCTTCCCTTCTCAAGGTGGTAACTATTTGATGAATAAAAACCGTGCGCGTACCTGTCGATATTTGCTTATTTTTGGTCGCATAAATTGGTATTTTGGTCCGTCAGGTACAAATAAACTAAGAAAAATTACGATGCAGTGATTATTTCACATTCTATTTTTTAATTTAATTTTAATATAATTCAAATATTTCGTGTTTAAAAAGACTTTCTCTCTATACACATCTATGCGAAAAATATTATTTCGGGAGCAATTCCATTAAGAATGAATAATTGGTGTACTACATAAGCAATTTATACTATGTATAATTTAATGATATTACAAGTGAATTGTGCGTAACATTAGGTTCATAGATATTTGGTTAATTAATTATTTATTTATTTATTGTGACATTTACAAACCTATAAATTACAAGAAAATGTCGTCAATGAAGTCACTGAACCGGGTATTTTGTGAGGATTTCATGTTGTTATCGTCTGGGTTTTTAATAAATCAATTCAAAGTGGCGGGACTGTTTGACCACCAGGTTATTACAGAATTTGTGGAAGTAGATGTAATTTATATCATTTCAATAACTTTTTGTTTAAACGATGAAATAGAATTAATATCAGTTAAATGTTATTTTTTGAACAAATACTCATATGTATTGATGCTGAATTAGGGTTAAATATTTTTTTTATATTCCTTATAAGTCTATACACTTTGTTGGAATACGCTTATTGAACAGATAAATCTGATATTCCGAAAGCTGTACATTTTTATTAATATAAGTAGGTACTTCCCCAACTTCTGTCATATTTATAGTCATGAGCTTAATTTAAAATGACATGTGGTGTTCTCTCTTAGTGTTTCTAAAGTAATATTTCATAATAAAAAAAACGCCTATGGACAGCCCAACAAGTAATAAGTGGATGACAAAGGTATGTCAGTTGCACAATTCGATTAACTTTTCATGCTATTTTCTTTGAAAACAAATGAACGTTCAAAATTCAAACTTCAAAATTTTTGGATGTGTAAATTGTTAAATTTGTCTTTGACAAGATGGTATGCCTTGATTATTTGCTTTAAATAACTTTTTTCCTATAAAAACTGAAATAAAACAATATTTTCTGCTACATTTCAATCTAGATAAAATATTTTATCATATATACATATATAAATAATAAATTAATAAAAACAAATTGTTATACTCAAATGTAACGTACGTAGCATTCCAAATTCAACAACACCAAACATATGACTATAGCATAATACAACAATGGGTGTGTTCAGTGCAGTTATTATTGTATCAAATATTAGAAGCTTTCGGCAGCTTTTAAGTGTGGCAAATAACAAGTTGCTTACTATAGGCGCTATACAATCGGTCAAATGTTATATTTTCGCAAAAAGCAAATCTTGCATATGTGAATATAATGCAAGCAAACTATATTTTGTATAAAAATAAACAATAGAGATAAAATTAAAAATTAAAACGAATATTGAACTAAAAGCAATGTTCAAAATGCAGGAAATTTTGAAATTTCCTTTTACAACAAAATAAAAATAGTTATAATATTTGAATAAGTATAAACTTGTTGGCAACTAATAAGTTAAAAATTTTATATTTTCAATTATGCTTTCTTCACGTACTCCTAAATATTCTTCTATATATTTATATATATATATATTTAAAATATTTATTTTCCACAATTTTGCATATTTTTAAAATATATATTTTCCACAATTTTCAAATTTGTGAAACTTTATAATTTTGTTTGCATTATTGTTTATAAACTTTTGACATATGACTGGAATATCCGCTGTAAAATCAAATGAAGGTTCACAGCAATTCGCTTATTGCGGTGAAAACATTTTTTTTTGTAGTTGCAACTTCACAACTAGGTGTTTGGACAGAGAAAGTAATGTTATTTCTTTTGTGTATAAATAAGCAACTTTAAGCGAACAACTTGTTTTTTTGCAATACTTAAAAGCTGCGGAAAGCACTTATTATAGAATAAATTCATTTTAAATTTTGCATTGTTTGCTAATAATAATGCAATTTAACTGTAATTTTGAATAATTTAATTTTCTATTTTCGCCGTGTGCGAGTTCGAGTAAATTGATGGTAAACTGAGGGAAATAGCAAATTATGTCGGTATAGCAGCGAATGTTGGTATATACCAGAATTTCGAGTAGGTAAATTAAATAAAAATTAGGTAAATTAGGTGTTACCATTGTAAAAATTTTATAAAATGTTTAATAAATAAATTTGAAAACTTTTAACCAAAAATAAAAAATAAGTGCAAATTTCCTTTTTTTCCTAATAATCATACAATTTTTTCGATGCATTTCACAGCTATTTCTATTGCACCTATTGGTTTTATAATGTGAACATATATTATAAATAAGACATATATAATATATAATAATATATATAAATATTATATATATTATAAATAAAATTGTTCGTTTTTTTCCAAAAAGTTTCCCTAAAACTTTTAAAGAACTTTCTAACATATAAAACCTCTTTTTTGCATACATATTAAATCAACTTATGCATCCAATGGGAACAACCAAATTTTAATTTAATTAATTTAAGTTAATTTAGATGCAGTCAGAACATGGTAAAGATAATAAATATAACAAATAAAAATAATGCAATAAATAAATGTGCAATTGTTTGTTTATTGAACAGTTTTCCGAATCCTATGTTCCCAAATATTTATAATATAAAAAAATGGAGATTTTTATACAATCATATAACAACATTTATTCTTAACGTCTTAAAATTAACGTTATTTTTTTTTTCAGAGTAGCAAAAAAATACACAAAAGAAATATTTACGAAAGAAAACATGTGAAGCAACAACAATGCTCTTAAAATTTTCAGAGTTAGGTTTTATTCGCAAAAAATTTTACGTACTAATTTTCAGTGCAGCCAAATTCCAAAATCAATCTATTGTGAATGCTCACTGGAAATATTTTGCAAAATTCAAGTCATCCGTTAAAATCATATCAGCATTTCATTTACTAATCAATTTAAATGCATAAAGAAAATATTTAATATAAATACATTAGATAAAAATGTTTATCATTGCCCTTCTAATATTCATTTTGCTCTCTTTTATTTAAATTAATTCATTTTTAGTGTACAATTTTCATATTTCATATAATATACAACACAACAAAAAACATATATATAAGAGCATTTAACATATTTTAAGAGTGATGCCAATTTGTTTCAACTACACTTGGTGCTATTTTTTTACAACTCTTTTACCATAACGGTAGTAATTCAAAACTTCAAACAATTTATCTAATAAATGTGTATAAATCACTGAATTTGATAAACAAAGACTACTAATAGGTTAATATTTCACAATCAATCAGCATTTGTTACTTTATTAAACTAAATGCTCATATTAAAATAATTAAATTGCTGAATATGATACCAAAACGAAAATTAAATATTAAAAAGAAATTACCTTTAAGAACTTAATTAAATAGTTAAATAAACAATTTTATTTTTAAACAGTTAAAGTTTTCTCTTTCTTGAATTTTGCTCTTGATATATTCTGTTTGGCCATGTTACGCAAGCTATAGTGAATCAACATATTCGTTGTTGACTTCAATATAAATTTAAAATTAAAAGCATTGAAGGCAACAACAAATGACGTGATCAACAATCATTTGAAGTCTGTATAACATGACTCTAATTTGTGCAAAATCATTTTAAAATTGAATTTGTAATTCACAATAGTACAATTGTGTAGCTATTTTGTGAATAATTTTTTTTTTAATTTATTGGCGAAACTATAAAATAAATAAGTGGAACAAAATTAATATTCGCTGTGTGAACAGTCCTTAACAAAGAGAAGAGAACAAGTAAAATTGCAATGAAAATACAATTTATTGTGCTCTGTGAATTGACTTGTATATTATACACAAATTGTGTAAGCAATGTGGAGAAATAAAATAATTATGCTGCGTTTTAAATGTCAATAAATCTCATTTATGTATACTATAGTAAATTTTTGGTATATACAATAACTAGTGTATTTATTTAAAAACATATTCACATACATAAAATTAACAGTGTTATTTTTTACGGCAACATTTGAGAAGAAAATGTTTATATATACACGATTAGATTTAAATTATTGTATTGCATTATATTAAACATATTTTTGATGTTTAGAATTAAAGTGTTATTTGGTCGCAAACATCGTAAAAGTTAAAAAATTCATTGTGACTTCTGACGAATGCAGCAGGTACTCTTCAGTTATGATATATGCTGAAACTCATCTGGATTGTGTAGTTACACAATAAATGTCAAACACAAAATACAAAGAAAAAACGAAAAGACAAAAGATATTTCAGTTTCATTAAGAAAAGCAAGAGTTACAGCTGAAAATTGTTATAAATATAGCATTAGTTTTCTTAACAGAGAGTTTTGTTATAAATTTTTAACTTTTTAAGTTTCTGTTTATATATTTCTAACATTTCGGTTTGTACATTTATTGCAAATTTTAGTTAATGAACTAAGAAACAAAAACAGTTGAAAGTGGAGTTTAAGAAAAGTCAATACGCATTTAATTCAATTTTATTGAAATATAAAAATCGTCTTGAAAATAATTTAACAAATAAATTAGATGTCGGAAAATAAGGAGGAAATCCTAGCCAATTTTCAGGTAATTTATTAGAAGCACATTTATTTGCCAAAACTGTTTCTACTAACAAAGTTTAATTCATAAATTTAATTTTTTTATGCAAAAATAAAATAAAACACTATTCAATTTTATAAATTATATTATTAAGTGTATTTTATCTATATTCAAGGTATTGATATATATCGCGCATGAAATGTAATTCAACAGAACGTGGTACTTATGTATACACTTTGTGCCAACACTCATTTATTTCTAAAGAATTGAACAGACAATTTCGTAAAAAAAACTTAAGACTATTAGTTTTTTTTTTCAATAATAAAATAAAATTTGTAATTTGTTTAGTAAATGCAAAATAATAATTGCTAATCTTATCCTTTTAGAGCATATCTGGCATCGACGATGTTGGAGAGGCATTCTCATATCTCGAAGAGACAAACTGGGATTTGATGGTTTGTTAATACCTAATTTAATGTTGATGCTACTTTTAATCTACTTTATATTTTTTTTCTAGGCCGCAATACAACGTGTCATTCCTCAAGATGATGCACATTCACCAATGGATGATTTACCACCACCAACTTTATCACATCAATTTTTAAGTAACAACTCGAGCAGCCAGCCTAATTTATTAAATAACTTCTCTGCTGCTTCTTTAAATTGCCGTCGTTGGGAAAATTCGGAAAATTCAGTTTCTGAAAGAGCATTTGCACCAGGTTAGAATAAAAATTGCAAGTCATTACAATTAAAGAATAACTAAATTCAAATGTAAGCAGGTTTTAATATGAATTTGTAAATTTTAAGGTCAACTGTTTGTTAGTCTCTAATTTGCAATGAAATAATCAACTTCAACATTGTTTCATTTAATCTTTTTTAACATATTTCTATTTAGCTTTTAGAACTAAAAGTAATGCGTCAATACCTTCTGTTCTTATTTAAATTTTGTTAACTATCTATATTTTAAGATCAACTGTTTTTTAGTCTCTAATTTGCGATAAAATAATCAATTTAGATATTGTTTTATTTAAGCATTTTAATCATATTTCTATTTATCTTCTAGAACTAGAAGTAATGAGTCAATCAATAGCTTCTGTTCTTATTTAAATTTTGTTAACTATGTAGATTTTAAGATGAACTGTTTTTTAGTCTTTAATATGGAACTTAAACATTGTTTTATTCAATCCTTTTAATCGCATTTCTATTTAACTTCTAGAATGAAAAGTAATGAGTCAATACCTTCTGTTCTTAATTCCATTATAAATTTCAATTTTGATTTTATTGTTAGTCATGCAGACATATGCAATAAACATATTTTAAAAATGGTTTGTTTTGTTGTTGCTTTACTAGTATCCATTACATTTATTGTACAAATTCCAGAAAAAAATAATAATATAAAATTTCAATTTGTAGAATTTATTACAAAAAAACACATTTTTCATATAAACATATTTACGTCTTGTGATCATAAAATATATTTGAAATGACAGTGTTTTATATGATTTAAAATTTATATACATATAATATATTTTCGAAATTTAATGTTAATAACCATGCAGTAAATTTTTGTTTTGGGTTTCAGTTGCCTCAACATCAACAGATGCTGAAATAGTCGATCTCACCTCGGATATAAACTTGGACTCAAAAAGCAATGAGTCAAATATTATAATTTTTAATATACATTATAACCAACAAGTATACACAATACGACTGCCGTCTAATGCAACTATTGGTAAGAGCGTTGTTATCTTATTTATTGTCTACTTGAACTGAATTTTCTTTTTAATTTATAATTTATAGAAAGTTTAAAGAGTAAAATTTGTGATGTAACGAGTGTACCGACGTGCCGTCAAGCTTTACGAGGCTGGCCTCCAGCAAAACTACAGGATGCACAGAAACCGACAACTCAAATTCGCAATTTAGACTTGTCTACAGAAAATGAACTCATTTTAATTGACATGACAGAAGAGGGCTTCATGGATTTCGAAAAGTAAATATAAAAAAAAACTAATTAATTATGTTAATAATATTAACATATTAACAATATTTCAGTGATGAAGTTACTCGCCGCTTAGAGAAAACTTTTGTACTAACCATAGTAGAGCAACCAGGTGGACAGCCTTTTAAACTTAATTTTTCTGGAAGAACTACAGTTCATGAAGTGAAGACAAGTGTTTACTATGTTACAGAAATACCAGTCAGACTACAGGAATGGACCGGCTGGCCAATTGGGTGTGATAATAATTCCACCTTAGCTGTTAGTATCAATAAATTTTAAAATATTACATGATAAGTAATTAAATTTTTAAATTATCTACAAAACAGCAATCTGGTATTGGTCTAAATCATAACTTTATATTAAGCAGCTCGGAGAGTATACCTAGTTTAAGCTCAGCAGTACCTATAAGAGCATCAGCTAAGTAAGTTATACTTTTTTCATCTGTTATGTTAATAAAATAAACTAATGCATTTTTAAATTTTCTCTGCAGTGCCATTGCTATTGACACAGACAGCTCTGCTGATGAATTTGAAGACGCATCCGATTTTAACACTTGTGAAGAATTTTTCACTGATTCACTACCAAGTTTGGTACCTACAAGACATTTAAGTAAGTATAATAAAATTTATTAATACTTAAAAATATAATAATAATTATATTTATCATTTTAGTTTCTAATAATACTGACGATGAAACAACGGGATCGATCGAATTTGTTGAAAATTATGTAAAACGTTTTGGAGAACCGCATCCAGTTTTTTTTACGGGAAGCTTGGAAAATGCACTTAATGAAGCTTGTCACAAACCTGCTAGTGAAGTAAGGAAAAACAAAACAAAGTATTTATATCCTATATAAATTTTTATTTAATTTATTTATAGAGAAAATTGCTAGCAATATATTTGCATCATGGTGAAAGTATACTCACAAATGTGTTTTGTGATCACCTAATGAAACATGAAAGTATCAGACAAACTCTAGCACAGAATTTTGTTCTTTACGGCTGGGATTTAACACATGAATCCAATAAACATATGTAAGTTATTATAAAGAAGTGTTAGTGTGAAAATATTTTAAACTATTTGTAAATTTGTAAATTTATTCAAAGGTTCTTATCTTCTGTTACTGCTTGCATCGGTAACACAGCATCTTTAACTGTACGAAATACACCAATTGATAAGTTACCTTCAATTTTACTGATTGGAAAAAGCCGTTTGTCGGGACGTTCTTCGTGCGAAGTTTTATCTGTGATTCATGGTAACATATATAAATTCAAAATTTTTACTTGAAAACCTTTAAATGTTGTATAATGCTAGGTAACGTTGGCTTGGATGACTTATTATCTCGTCTAATTGAAGTGAATGAAATGTACAACGAGCATTTACAAGTAGAAATAAGAGAAGAGGAGGAACGTGCAGCTCGACATCAAGTAAAAGCCGAACAAGATATGGCTTACGAGGAAACACTACAAGCTGATATGGCAAAAGAAGCTGCCAAAAGACAAAAAGACGCAGCTATTGCTGCTGAACGTCAACGTCTTGAATCGGAAAAAGCAGAAGAAGATGCAAGAAGAGAATCCATAAGAATAGTGGTAAGTAAAACTAAATAAATATTTTCAAGTATTTCTTTACGTTATCAACGACTATCTTAAATATTTGAATAAACTCAGTTTATTTATCAACTATCACCCATATAAGTGATACTAAAATGTCATAACAAATTCTTTGTTATATTTACAAAAACAAAACACATATGTTTTAAATAATGAATGCGATAATATGCATTGCAATAGCTCAAATCTATCTAACTAAACAATAACTATTAAAAGTAATGTAGTTGAAAATATTGCCTGGCAACTGACAATAAGAACTTAAAGATAAGTTTTTAAACACCAAAATATATAGAGACGTATTTATATTATATTTATATATTTTTTTAAATAGTTTATTTTTACAACTGATTTCATAATGGCAAGTATATTAGCTTATACATGAGATGGTTATATGGTATTTCAAGTACTACTCTACAAATACCGACTGTTGAAAATGACAACTAATGTTGTCAACGTTGTCATTGCTTTATCTATAATGAATAGTTTTACATATTACTTAATTACTGCATGTAAAACATCTCACTTTTTATAGATATGTATTCGTTCTCTTCAGATTTGATCTCAAACTTAATTAAAATAAACAACTGACATACGCTATCTAATTATTCAGAAACAATCTTTAAGTTGCAAGCACTTTTTTGTTAGTGCTTTCTATTGTTTCACAAAAAAATTTAAATAAAAACTATGAGAATTGCAATATGAAAACGCATGCCACACCATTCTTATAAATAATATTAACAGTGTTCATCATTTTTCTGAAATTGCCGTAATCTTTGAAACATAACATTATTATTCTTGTAGTGCTGCCTACTACAGGTTATTTTACGTTTTTACGAGGATACAGTTTCATATAATTCGATATTTCTTGATTTTGAGTTATAACTTTATACTACCTGATTTGAAAAGCAAGGTATCCTTATCATGAAAGGATATTAAAGGTATCCTTATCATGTCATGGCTGTGAAAAATAATGGTGTGTAGAAGAGGGGTAGTAAGGAATGTTAAAATTACCTGAGTAGTAGTGAAGGGGTATTGTCATTTCCAGAAGACTTGTGTGGGCACTTGAACATGAAAACAGATAAACAATGCTATGAGATATAAAACTACAGTTATGGCACGTAATAGGGACGCACAAATTTATTCCAAGTTTAAACCTCAATTCCATCAGTATAGTTTTTGCCACCCTATGGACGCGTCCTTCATCCCCAGTTCAGACTTTATTATTTAAATTATTAAATTAAATTTTCGGTATTAAGACAAACAAACTATTATTTTTTAAGATTAATAGAATTAATAGTAATTATAGTGCTAGTAATTATTTCTTAATAGAAAATCCTTGTCTCGATATTTAATCTCAATGAACTTACCTTCGTTATGGTTGGCGGTTGGGACCGATATATTCAACAGCCCAACCATAGAGCACGTAAGATCACTTTTACATTGATCAGCTTATCAACCGTGTACATACGGACTTTCCACAACCGCCACTGTCATATTATCAAATAGCACATATTTGAAATGCATATAATATGCTACCTTGAATTTATAATTAAATTTAAAAAATATAAATTAATTTTTTTAAAGATGTAAGATGTCTTGAACATTTTAGAAGAAAATTCAGATTCGTTAAATAGTTCTGAACTATTTAGCGTAATGCTTGTTTGAATACATGTTTAATAAACAGACGTGTTGTGCTAAAGCTTTTCTACTGAGGGTAAGCAAAAAATAATTAAAATTAGATAAAAAAATACAACATTTAATAACTATAAAGCTCCGATCTAAGCCAGTGTGATATTCTTTATATATTGAGTGATTCAGCGCCACATTAAAGTAAAATTTAAAATAACCGTGTGAATACCATTTAGGCATCGAATAATTTTTACCAAATTTTTTTTATATTTACTTAAGTTAGAAATCATTATATGTGTCTATAGTTATGTGCCACTCTGTACTTTAATAGCATACTGATTTATATATATATATATATACCAAACAATATCTATATATATTTTTGCCAACTTCTGCTGTATAATAATAAAGTATTTGTCATATCCAAGACTTCGTCATTTCTCTCATGTTACAATCCATCATTAAATCAAATTATTTATCAAAGCTCTGAACTCGTATCAAACCCTACAAATCCATAAAAACAGATAACGTCGTTGGCATTTTTTACCCAATTTGTTTTATATAATATGTAAATAATTAGATACAAATAAATCAACATTACTGAATTTAGTCGTTTTTAACTGATCTATACAAAATTTTTATATGCATTCAAAAGGTCAATTCAATATATCAAAATAATCTATATGAAATTAATGTTTTTCTTTATTAAACTCTATATCAAGAGTATTTGCTACCCCTCTGTATTGATGCTATAATTATCCTTCGTTAATACAAGTTTGTAAAAATTTGCAAATTTTTATTGTATTTTTTTCCATTTGAAGTATCAGATGACGAATAGAATTAAACTAGATGACGAATTAATTAAACAGCACTTTTAGTATTAAAATTGAGTTACAGACGAGACAAGGTCGACAGCTTTCTAGAAGAACATAATAAAAACTTTTTACAATATATATTTTGTGCTTTGCTGGTATGCTACATCCTCTATTCCTTTAGTTATAAACACATATACTTATAATTCGTTTATCTGTTTGATTACTATGCGTATAATACTTATTGCCCTTTGCAAGATTTACTCCATTAAATGGTCATTCGATTCAATGTTCATGCATCCCGAACATTCGAAGTATGCGATCCAAATATTCGAATTCAAATATACTTTGACTATTTGAAATCTGTATAGGTCAAACTCTTAAAGCACTACTGAGCAGTGATAGCATAGTCTTATGTTAAATAATGAGTATATATTGTATTGTAAGACGTAGTTTTTATCGTTATATATACCGCTTTCATTTAAATGTTTGTTTATGCTTATGATATTTAAACAGATCACGACAATGTTAGTTGGTAGAATCTGTTAGAGTGTTTAAATATTTGAAGAGAGACTAAAAAATCGTTAATATAATGAAAATCAGATAAACGGTATTAAAGCTTTTCGTTCTACGTGCTGACGAACCTCTAGTAAATCAATAAATTAATGTTACAGTATATGGTTCTCTCTGATTATCGCAAGTTTACTTTAGTAGTCTTTAATCGCTACTCTGCTTTGTTCTTAAGTTGATAATTATTTTGCGAAAGGTCTGGCACTTACTTAAAAGTGAAATTAAAAAATACAGGATATAGGCCAGCCAGTAAAGTGGATTACTAACACTATTGATGCCTTATTGTGCTAATTAATTGATAATTTTACAACCAGTAGTTTTATAAATTGTACAGATCATATATTTCAGTGTTTCGTATATATTCCCCTACAAACACATTGCTTATTTATCTAAAATGTTGTACATACATATACATATAATCAATTGAGAAAAAATCGTTCTCCATTTGAAAGACAAAATAAAACAATGTAGAAATAGTTTTATATTCGAAATACAATTGATAAAAGTTATATTAAATTTTAAAGTGATTACTAAACAAAATATGAAAAAAGTTATGCCTTGTGACCACAGCTAGGTCTTCTATTGTAATTGGAACCAAACACCGACGAAACAGTGCACAATGGGAATGGAAAGAGTGATGTTGTGCAAGTTAGCTATAAATATAAGGAAATAATAGGAATATTGAATCTCGCTATGGTTTAGCAAAGATTGGGAACCAAAGATTTCAAGACAGTTGAAACCTTATCAACTTAGGACGGAACCATATATGTTTGACTTTAGGGTCTTATATAATAGTAGACAAATTTGAGTTCATATATAATTGGATACAAATTTGTGTCTATATATAATAGAACACCAAATTGTGAGTACATAGTTTGAAAAGCAGTCAGTTCTACATCTCATCACTATCCTTCTTCAAAACCGATGAAACACGTTCTTCACCACCAAGCAAAGTCAGAAAAGCAGATATGTACTCGTTAGCCCCTCAAAAAATTTATTATAATTTTTTTTTATTTTATTTTTTGTAAAGAGGTTTTCGAACAGAAGTGAAACAACAACAAAAATTTATTTTTTAAATTATTTTAATTAATTGAATTTTTGACTGACCATACAGCTGTTTCGAGTATTGCCAAATACCCTTCATCAGTGGTCTTTTTTGTTAAAAAAATATAAAGTTTTGAATTTGAATTTGTTTATAGTCCTGTGCTCCCAATTACCAAAAAAACAAGCCCAGAATAAAATTGGATATTTGACAATTAGATGCGTGTATTTCACGTAATTTTAACTTCATAACAGTATATGTGAGGATATAACATATTCAATTAAAGTGAATACTGTGATTGAGAAAGCAGAATATGAGAAAGTAGCCTGTACTTTAGAGAAGTAATTGTTCTATCTCAATGAAATGGAGTTATACTTATAGCTAAAGGTTGAGCGCAATTTAGTTTTCCGTATGCATGAGTGGTTCCCGGAGTATAACCAGCAGCTACTAGTTCTTCTCAAAACATGCTTTTTTGGGTCCTTTCATCTTTTTAATTACAAACGGGAATAGCCACATGCATGTTAAGTTGTTGACTTTTTTAGCTAATTTGAACCTATTGATTCAAACACGCTGTTTTCATTGAAAATCATATAAATTTAAAATAAAATTTTAATCTATATATATATAGTTTATTATTTATATTCAATATATCATATTATTTAATAATTATTATTTTGTTTTTAGGCTGAGCAGTCTTTACCTACAGAACCAATTGACACTGAAAGCAATATAACAAAAATAAGAGTGCGAAAACCTACGGGAGAATTCATTGAACGAAGATTTCACACCCATAATATTTTACAGGTATTGTACATATTTTTAAAATTATTTTGAATATAAAATTTTAATAATATACTATTTTGTTTTTATAGGACTTATTAAATTTTGTTGCTGCACATGGTTTCATCATCGATGAATACAAAGTTATTTCAAGTTGGCCAAGGAGAGACTTAACTTCCATTGATCCAAATCAAACATTGCAAAGTCTGAAACTTTATCCCCAAGAAACCGTTATTTTGGAGGAGCGATGATTATTGCATTAGCATTAACGTTTCTATCGTACCGAACTCATCGTTACAACATAAATCAATAGCAGTAAATAATTTAAAAAAAAAATGCAAATTAAAAGTTATTCATCAACATCTCATCCCTTATATAAAGCAAAACAACACAAAACAAAAACAAATAATAATTTTTAATCAAAATATTTTGTAGTTTTTCAAGTGTAGTAGTATTGGCTATTGGCTAAAGCGATTAACTAAAATTAGTAGTCTGTGTGCCCAGGTAACTTAATTAAACTTAATTAAGTAAGAAATGCAACAAATAAAAAAGTTCTAAATATAAAATAAAACTATTTTACATAATGAAGATCTGAAACCAAACCAAATGGTTAAGCATTCTTGTATTTTTGAAGTTCACAAACTAAAAGAGTTGCTTTCAAAGATACGCTAATTTTAGCAATGAAAAAAGAAAATTTGCTTAGTTTAAAACTTTTATTAATAAGTTAAAATGAATTCTTAATACTAAATTAATATTATCATTATATTATTATATACTTAAGTACAGCTTACATTCACTTACATATATACAAAATCAACAAGATAAAAGTACAATAAAATCTTTACATAAATAATTGGAGGGAAAGAGTATTTTATAGCAAAACAAATACATTGTATAATTTCTTAATGAAAACGTAATAGCACTCTTCAAGTAGTTAAAAACATTTGAGCAAATTTACAAAAATACGGTAACAAAAATAGGTTTAAAACTCTTCTTATCTTCGTTCCCCATCTACAGCGATGATTTTAGTGTTTCTTCAATCGGGGCCAGCACTACAACTAATATTAAAGCGACCACAAACAGCGCCAATACTACAATATAGACACCAAGAAGTCCTTTACGAAATCTGGCATACTGCAGAAGAACATAACAGAAGTTTAATAATTATAGAAACAAATATTTAAACAAATAAATTGTTATTTACCGGAGCATCCATGTTACGTTCAAGTTTCATGCCGTTGCGCATAGCATGATGACCCATTTCACCCATTTGGAAAGTATTCACCCGTTGGGTCTGTTGACGATCTGAAGAGCAGCCAGCAATCTGCATACACAAGAAAACCTTTATATTAATTCATTTAGTAAATACATTGTTCTTACGAATAATGAGCACATGAATTAGTAAATTATGGGATGATTTTTAATTACAGAATATACAGTGCACACAACATTGAAAGTGTCAATGCAGATGTAAACCTCTATCCCAGCTATTTAGTCATGCAATGGACTCTAAAATTTTTTACTTACTGAGTAAATTAAATGAACGATCACATGAAATACAATAAATCCAACCAAAATCCAATCCATCCATTGTGGTAGTTCAGCTTTTGTCAGTCCGACAGCGAAAAATATTGTTACAACTAAAAATTTTAAACAATTATTAGTCTGACATCCATCGAGTATATAAGACATTTACGTACTTGCTAAAATATGTGCTAAATTGCCTCCTAGCCAATGTGCCCAGTTGAAAAATGGACGATTTTTTGAGTTTGGTGCTGGCCGGAATATTGCGCCTATTGGTTGTATAAAACATAAAAAGGTAGTAATAACACCAAGTATGGCATGAGGATTACGCTCAGCGGACCAAGCACCTAATTCAACGAATATAAGGACAAAGGCAACCATTGTGAGTGTCCAAGTAGTAACCATGCAAACTCTATGCCACTAAGAGAGATAATAAAAGTTTTTTTTTATCAAATAACAAGTAGTGACAACAGATTTATTACATACCACAAACCACTGATCCTTTCCACAAGTTTGACTACCAACCCAAGTTTGTTTAAAGTAACGGGCTAGCAAAATACCTAAAGAAGTAGTACCAATCCAAGCAGCTATCATAAAAGCACCATGCAAACGCAAGAGCAATACGGAAGAACCTGATAGGTCCTGTACCACAGCTAAGTTAATTGGTTGGGCAGATGGTAAGCGACCAATGTCATGGTAGCCTACACCACTTTCTAAGTGAAGAAGTAGACATAATAATAAAAATTTTGAAATTAAATGTTGTAAATAAAATTACCTTTGAGCGAACGTCCAGCTGCGACAAGTAAATGATACTTGCTATTTATAAGATCGAACATCTTATCCTTGACTATAGTTACTGGCTCACGTTGCACTTTGCAGTAAATAACACCGTCAATAAGTGAGTAGTCCAAAAGTCTATGCGTATTTTGCGGCTATAAAAAGATTTATTTAGATCGTAAAATTAATTAAAGATTTTATAACGAAAAAAAAATACGTATACAAATATTTAATATATTAGTTAAAATATATTATGTTTCTATATACAATTTGTTGGCGATTTAAGGTGGGACTTATTAACGATCGGGCTTATTAACGATTAGGTTGTGTAAATAGTTATTTTAATGCGCTCAATACATTTTAACCAACCATTTGCTTCGTAATACTTACTACTCCAGCTCTAGTTGCTGCATAATTGGGTCCACCGGCAGTGTAAGATGAATATGCGCTTATTTGTCCATTTTGTGGTACGCATTCTATCACTAAATCGTCACCCATTTTATTATCGTCAGACAATCCTAAGGCCACATATGCTGCATTATCTATAAATTAAGTAAATTTAATTGCTGACATTCTTACAATTTAGAATAAACTTTTTCATTTACTTTCAAATGATTTCAATTCGAACTCATATATATCTCCACGTACGATGGTAGAAGCTACTGCTTTACATGACTTATCTTTAACGCAATTATCCGGGAAACCAAAGCAAGTTTTAGAACGTCCACAACCAACATAAAATGGATCATCAGGTTTTTGGGTAGTTGTAGTCGGTTCATTTAGTGGTACATATGGAACACGTGTTGGGTTATAGGGTTCGCGTGTACCAGGTGGGCTATATGAAGGCGCAACATCACGTTTTACAACTTGCACCGGATTCGATGGTATACCAACCCAAAACGTATCATATTGTTGAGCTACCGTTGCACTGTAAGAATTTTTAAAATAAATATAAATTTTCATAATAAAATAAAAGTTTTATTTTAATTACTTGAATATAACTTGTCCCAAAAAATCAACAGGTGTCAACCATTCCAAACTTACATCAGTTTTGGGTCTGGCATTGCTGTGTGTTGCAGAGTTGTTTACTGAGTTCTCGCAGTTCATTAATTTTGCACGCCCATCCAGTGTGGGATTGAATTGTCCAATCTATATAGAAAATTTTTACATTGGATTTCAAATTTTCAGATTTTTTTTATGTATGTTCATTTACAATTTGGTAAGGTGGATTCCGATTGCGTGCTTGTATCATGAAACCGCCGAAATTAATGCCAAAAGGTCCGCCTTGAATGTCAACACGTAAAGTTTGGCCTTGTCCAATCACTGATGTTGATGGCACTATATTAAAAGGTGGTACTGTCGACTGTGGTAAGAATCCTCCTCCATGAAAAGGAAGCATTGTATCACATACTGTTTCTGGTGCACCTTGCGGTAAGCTCATAATAGGCGTCCATGACAATGTGTTTAGAACAACCAATAAGTGCAATAAGAAATTCTTAGAATTATATCGAAACATTTTGAGATGTCTTTGTGTTTAAAATATCTGAAAATAAAAATATTTAATAAAATTTTAAAGGATATCAACAGGGTATTTATTTATATATTTTCTTATGGTTTACAGATTAAAGAGGGGATTCATGCCTATTTTTTCCTCGTTAGTTATGCACAGACAGGTTTAGGCTTCTTGAGCTAGCTAATAAGCAATGTTTTTATCCATGGTATCACAACGGGCCATTATTTGTCCCTAAATGCAAGGCCAACACACACTAACCTTACTTAACCTATAGTTTACAGAACTGCTAAAAATTATACTTCATAGTTAATTTACAGATATCTTAGCAATTTTTTTTTTTATTATGTACAACGTTTTTGCGTTTATATATTCTCAGACTAATATATATTGGGTAACCATATACGCGATTTTTGAAACGTTTATAATATAGAATAATAAGAAGCTGCTAGAATATATAGTTTTTCATTATAATATAGGAAACGTTATCGATGTAGTGACTGCTCATTTTTGAGTGTAAAGCATTAAGAAAGGTTCTTAAGCCAATAAGAGATTAGCGTAAAATCTACCATAGGAGTACAGAAAAGTTTTGATCTGTTATACAAAACTACATTATTTTCACGATTTTTCCACGAATATATATTTTTTATGAATACGTAGGCCTATAACTGTAATAAAATTAGCCCTTTTTAATATTTACACATCTTTGTTATGTATCGATTTGTCTGCATTAGTCAATAATTTAATAATTCCAACTAAATCATTATTCAGGTCATCTCTTTGAGGTTTGCGAACAAGTATTAGATACATATAGATATAGTAACGTACAAGAAATTTTTTTAATATTTTAGTTCATAAACGGAACTATTTTTATATCCAGCAACAATTTTAAAGAACGTTATATTCAGATTTCAGGATGAATTGATACTCTAAGTATTGCATTCACACCCAGGTAAGTTTTTCTAAGGACGGTGAAACGATATGGGTTATCATATCAACAAAATCAGAAGCGGTTAACAGACGTATAAAAATATTAACCTTTATGGAAATCTAAATCAGTGTCATAAAAAATTAAATAAGATTTATAAAAAAGTATTTGCCTGATATTGCTTATATAGGAATTGAAGACATTACTGTGTTTTATTAAAAGAACATGTGTGTGATAAAGAAATAGGAGTATCTTTACCCAAGTCTTTCAGAATAGCATGCCCCTGAAACTATAGTATCACAATGGGTCTACAAAGCGAGCGTAAATTAGCAGCATATTTTTCCAAGATGGGGTGCACTTGTATCTACCATCTTTTTAATAACAAAAAGTAATAAAGATCAATATATCAGTATATAAAGATCAGTTTATATATTTTATTTATTGTACAACTGGTACACGTGAGTAAGTACGAGTCGAAATAAAAAGTATATATGTAATACATATAATGTTTACGCGATACTAAAGGAAAAGTTATTACAAATTAGAAAATAAATAAATTAATCATTAATCGATCTGCATTAAACACGGTGTTTTATTAAAAGAATGTTCTTTACCCTTCTAATTGTTATATAGGAATAATCAAGGGAGTTCTATGTGACAATGACACATTCTTTTATATTTGAAACGGAATATCAATGATATGCCTAGGGCTTCCGAGTGGTTTCCTCAAGCACTCCGTATGGCTAGCTCATATGTTTTTCAATATGACCGGGAACCCAGATTAGAGAAATATTGAACTGCATCCCCATCTCATTTATAGATTACAAAGACTGTCCTAGATGTTATTTGGACTGAGCTTAGGGACTTTAAAGCAGCTTGACTATCCGATGGCATATATATAGTCCAAGCAATTATATCTTCAATTTCTAGAGAAGCTATAGCTTCCTTTATAGCAATCACTTTTGCCTTTTTTCAGTAAGTGATATGAAGATAGTGATTTGTGAAAATAGAAGATAGAAGATTCACATACTTTTAAGTGCAAAACTCGCTTTTTTTGCTCTTACACAACAAAGGGGTTCGTGATTACTCACATGAGTAATTCATGTCGCAAATATCAATACAGTTTATATATATGACGGTTTCAACATAATTGAAAGTACCTGATTAAAGAAGTATGTGATCAACGAATTGAAATAATTTTATTCGATTTGGTTATTAATTAATTTGTAGTGATAATGAGCACTATTATGATGTTTATGTATTCTCTTCAACAACGATCTTTTTAGATAGAAACATAAAGAGTTTTCTAATCTTTCTTAAAAAGAATTATGAAGAGTTTTCTAATCTAATGATTGAGAAAATGTTAAAACTGTGACTGATTAAAGATGATTGATGTAACTGTGGGTAGCAATCTCAACTTTTAATTTCTTAAAGAATGCTTAGCGGAAGTATAAGCCAATGTGCTTAATCGAGTGCTCAATTATATATTATTAAGTATTTTACTTCAGTCGAGAGTATTAACTCGCTACAGTCAAATAGAAAATAATAAGCTTGAACTCATTTGTAGATTTTACACTCTTTGCACATTATGGCATACACAAATCGTCAAACCTAAATAGTGCCTAACGCAGTCCTAAAACAACCATCCATGCCAAGTCGGTGGGTGACCAAGCATGTATATATCCGCTAAGGTTACCTACTGTCTGAACAAATGCTAAGTAACTTGTCTACGATTTTGTATGACGCATGCGCACGTTTTCCGCTTAGAGATGTTAGCTCTTAGCTGCTAGCTGTTAGCTCTTAGATTTTAATTAATTTTAGCATAAATAATTGTCATTGTTTAACATTTGCCTTTATGTCGTCTATCTCGATGACATACACAGCAGCAAATTTTATGTTGTTTTCTGTAGCTGCGATCTGTTTAGATAAATGAGGCAGTTTAGATAAAAACTTTAGTTCTATTTTTTCTGCAATTGTCTTGTGGCAATTAAGAAAAGAGCAAAATTGCGTTTGATTGAAATACGCGGTGTCTACAGTTTACGCTACAATTTAATTGTCCATAATTCCGTTTGTTAAATTGTATAATAATTATTGTAGTCTATCGATAAAGTATCTTCATGCATTTTTATATTTTCTATTTTTATGCAGAAAATGGTGAAAATCATATTAACATACTTTTGTTTCTATACGCTATAGTATATAAATTAATCAAAGCAAATATAATAGTAATAGAAGAAAATTAAATATAAAAATATGAATAATATATCACCATCCTCATCAATGATTATATTAGTCTAATTCAGGCCTTAACTGTCTCGTCATGTTTGCTTTAATTAAAAAAGAAAAGTTTTTGCTTTCTATTAATTAGAATAAATACATTATATATATGCTGTTAGTCTAGTTTATAAAGAAAAATTACTAAACACCTCTAACCGCTATTCAAAAATGAAAATCTTAATGCTAAGAACAGGAAGGTGTTATATAAATAAATAATTTAACCATCACTTCTATATGGATGTGTAGCGTTTAGCAAGGCCTCAAACACTACTATTCGCCAGGTAGAAATTGCACAAAGCTAGGTTCTGAGAAGACTTTTCAAAGTAGCATGGTACATTAGGATGAATAACATCCTCAGGGACCTCAAGATTGATCCGCTCAAGAAATACGTAAAGGACAGAGCTCTGAAATTATTTACGAAAACTGACACACTTACCAACACCGCGTTATCGAATCTCAGAATGATTACAGGCTCCTCGGGGAGGTATGCATTCTGAGGTGAGTTATTGCTTAGTCTCATGTAGTGATAAACAATAATCCAGTCAAGGCGTAGAGAGGGGTTTTGAAGAAACCTCGCAGTTAATAGAGAGTAAAAGTGCTCAAGTGCACTGACTCAATTAGCCTCAATATAATAATAAAAATTACATACAAAAAAATCGGTTTTTAATCGATTTTATTTTATAATGTATTTTGTTGTTGCGTTACTGTTATTCTTCATATACTATACTTTTTAGTTTAGATGATACTCTGTACTCTGTTCCTTGCCTAAATATCTAGAACACAACATCAGTAAAGATTTTCGGTTATATGAAAACCCGTAGAATCATTCAACAATGTATTTATTCGCATAGTAAGCGATCTTCGAGATACTTATAGATCACGAAGTATATTGACTCTTTTAATAGATAATTATAAGTTATAACCGTAATATTTAGTACATGTAATTTATTTGTTTTAGATGTGACTATACAAATTGGAACTCTATTGACAACCATTGTCAAGCGATATATACGATCAAAAAAGATTGTCTCTGTTTGCTCATACTATACTTAATGTTACTTATATGTCTATGAGTTATATGTATATATGTCAGTTTGTCAATTTTTTTTTTAAATACTTAAGATCATTTACTCTTTAACAAACGTGTTGAAAAACTCTCAAGCATTGGCTTTGTACAGTATTTCTGCTATCAACCGTTTGATTGCTCCAAAATTTAGGGGGCTAGTTATTTATTTGTACTTATAATGTTTTTTATTTTTTATATATTGTTAGTACTCTTAGGTCACGGTATAATACCACTTTTCTAACAAATTATGATTTATTTACGCATATGCGAGAAATCTATGTAAGATCTCTAGATTCAATTTCAAAGCTGAGCCCCATATTTGAATTCTATATAACCATATTGGTTTTAGTATAATTTAAGTGATATGAATCTTTTGTCGAGTCATAGGGCTGATTTATGTACCAGTAAGCATTAAAATAAACAAAATTTTACTTCAAGTTGCTTCCACTTTAAGACTATATTAAAGTGTCATCTAAAAATTCGATTCAGGTGAATACCTAGATATTCTGCTTGAACGCTTTGTTGTATCTGATATTGGATTAAAGTAACAGGGATTTTCCAAAGAATTAACATAATTTAGTCTCATTTGCTTTGATACGCCATTTATTTATTATGCCTTTTACTTCACTATTACTGCAGTATTATTCTCAAATGGAACTCTGTAAATACTCACTATTGAAGATAGAAGCGTTCCTAAAACATTTTTTTGAGCTTATTCTGCTTTGATTGAATGAAGATTAATAACTTCATTGCCTAGTT